AAGAATTTGTTAAAGATGTCTGCCTTCTCCTCTGGCGCAACCACCAGATTGCCCAGCATATCTTGCAGGGGCCCCACATTTCCCAGTGCCTTCTTCATCCTCCCTATATATTTGAAAAAGGACTTTTTATTATCCTTGATCTTGGACGCTAGTCCTAGCTCTATGTCCACCTTAGCTTTCCTAACAGCCCCCCTACAGGCCCGAGCAGTGGAGGTATACTCCTCTTTGGAGATAGCCCCCGCCTTCCACCGGGTGTACGCCTTCTTTTTTGACAACCAGGCATTCCTCATCCTTGGTGAACCAGGGAGGCTTTTGGGCACTCTTGCCCCCTTGCTTCTTGTTAGGATTGTCACCCTTTGGGCCCTGAGTATTGTCTCTTTAAGGAACGACCACTCATCTTGGGCACTGAGTTCCCCTGCCCTCGAGAACCCCAGTGCATCTCCCACCAATCTCAACTCATTGAAGTTGGCCCTCTTGAAGTCTAGGGCTACTGCCTTGCTGCAGGCCCTTGTCACCCTGCGCTGGATGATGAATTCCAGCAAGCAATGATCACTATCACCCAGGTGGTCAAGTACTTGGAGCCCCCTTACCAGATCATCACCTGTGGCCAGGACCAGGTCCAACAGGGCATTTCCTCTGGTGGGACCGTGCACCTCCTGGGTTAAGTGGAGGTCCTGTATCTCGGCCAGGAACCTCCTAGAATGGAGGATTTTTAATGGAGGAGTCTACCTCTCGTGTTCTGGGACTATATGGTTAAAGTAGTATACTTCAGAGACACGATAACGGTGTCAAATTTGCCAATGTTCTTAGTTATTCAGACTGCACTGAAATTTATTTTTGCCGAAAGGGCTAGTTTAAGGCTCATGAATCACATGAGTCAGGGGTGGGCAAAATACGGCCCTCAAGCACTTTGTCCAGCCTGCAGTGGGTCCCTCAGTCCCGCCTGGCAGGTGCTTTCCAGCCTGCGGTGCATCCCGCCACCCCTTGGGCATGCAACAGGGCTGGGGTGGCTCCACAGCTGGACTGCTTTTGGAGGGCAGAAGCTGCTGCTCGGCATGGGCAAAAAGCAGCCCCATCCCATTGCTACTGCCAAGCCCTTCTTGCTGCAGCCGCCTGGAGCCCACGCCCGGGCTGCCCTGTGGCCCCCTCTGCACTGCCACTGCTGCCCCACTGGGCGGCCTGGAGGCAGTGGTGACGGCGGCAGAGAGGAGCCTCAGGGCAGCCCGGGCACGGGCTCCAGCCAGCTTCAGTAAGAAGTGCCTGACAGCGGTGAGGAGGAGGGCTCACTTTTCCCCCGCAACGAGCAGCAGCTCCTGCCCAGGCGCTGTTCAGCATGGGCAGGGGGGCCGCAGGAGGTGCGGGGCAAGCCAGAGTCGGGGCTGGGGCTATGTGCTGTTGACGGTCGGGGAGGAGTCGCAGGGTGCGCGGGCTCTGGGATGTTCCGGGGAGGGGGTAGAGGTGCCAGCCAGCCCGCGGCAGCTCCCTAGAACAGCCTATGTGGTCCACGGGCCCAAATAATTGCCCACCCCTGACTTAAGTCCTACTTCAGCGTATAAGTTCGCTGAGACCTATGTGGAATTTAGATGTTATGTAGACCTTGTGTTAGTACGTTTCTTCCCTGGTCTTTTGGAAGCTCTTTCCCATAAGTGAAGGCAAGCTTCCCAGAGGACCTTACGTACAGCAAAGCAATGGCAGCATACAATCTGTTGCCTGATTTTTCTAAAATAAATGCTGATCTTTCTATGTGTTCACTAAATTCTTTAAATAATGAATGCCTGTGTGGAGCTTCTGAGACGGGACCACGTGGTTATAGTGTGATGAGTTTGGTTGGCAGTATTCATAGGGCCCAAAGGGTGACATATAAAATACGAATAGAAAACTTTTATACGCCTTTTCGATTCCAAGGTAAAATGTTTATACCAAAAACTGTTTTAACGGGCTGAGGATCCTCCAGCAGAGCTTGCAGGATTTTGAGTGGTCTTTATGGGACTCCAGAGACATTGAGGTCCAATCTCTCTCCCCAGGCAAAGGGTGGAGGAGCTATGAGAACATCACATGCTCAGCCCTTTCACAGATTCAAGGTGAAAGACTGCCTCAGAAACCAAACTGTAGGACATGTGCTGAGTTTCAGTGCCCCTTATCCTTTTACGTTCCAAGGCTTTTTTTCAAAGTGTATTTGGGTTTTGTGCTGAGATTCACATCTGGGCTGAGGTGTAAAGTCAGTTGGGCAGTGGATGGACATTACCAAAATCATTTAATCTAGGGAACTGAATCATCTTCAGGAGAGCATGCCGACCTGAGCTGGACCTGTATCAGTAACTAGAGGTGACCTTTCTATATTAATCCTCTGTGCCGTGAAATCAAAGCAGTAGTCTGCTGGGTAGACCTAAGAGTCCCCAACCTTGTCTTTTGCTTTACTCGGTATGACCCTGCTGCATTTTATCCTTAAAAACCACCTGTTTCAGCATCCTAACTTCTACAAGTCATAGCTTTCTCTTTAGTGACATTGTAATATTCTCTTTCCATTAGTTGGAGAACACCAGCTGACGGGGCATAAAGTAGCAGTAAAAATTTTAAACAGACAGAAAATTCGCAGCTTGGATGTGGTTGGGAAAATCAAAAGAGAAATTCAAAATCTAAAACTCTTTCGGCACCCTCATATTATCAAACTGTAAGTACCCATGCTCCTGCTCCCATCTGTTCATAGCGTATTTCAGTTTTATTCCAGTCAAGAAGGTGTTTTCTTGACTGGATCCTGTTTTAGTAAATCACTCATTACTTTATTTTGTGTAAGTATAATTTTTTTTTTGCATATAGACAAGTATGACAGAGAACAGGACGGGTTGAATAGAATTCACTGTTTATTCAAAGTGTTTTGTAATACTTAGCAAGTTAATTGGCACTTCTCTTCCTTGGAAAACTGATCCAAAGCTCAGTGAAATCAGTGCCAATCTACCATTGATTTCAAAGGCTTCAGCATGGCAATTCTGGGCTATCAGGTGTCTGGAAAGGGCTTTGAATCCAGCTATTTTTGTCCAGTTCTGGTTGTGACTCTACACAAGCTATAAAATAAGTCCTTTACCCTCCACAGATGTATGTTCTTAATTTGACTTGACTTCATTGAGATTCCTGACAGTAACCCTTGCACTTAAAGCATGTAGTCAGGTTTTTGCTGCCAAATCTTCCAACGTCTTCAAGATCCTAATCTAGAAGTTAGTTAGAAAGGCAAGTGAGAGCTCCAGTACATACACTTTCCCTTTTAATTGATTTTTTTTCTATCAAAGACATTGTCACCTATGCAAACTCCTTAGGCTTCTGCGAAGTAGTCACGATCTCCATGTGAACCGATAGCCCGTCGCCTGCTCGTAGGACTCAGTGGGAGGTATTGTTCTCCCTCCTGTTTTCGCTTCATCTTCCTGTACTGTATTGAGAATTTTGCTTGAGAAATACATGCACAATCAGGTTCAGAAGATGAAATGCTGGTCGTAAGTCAATAGGATTCATGAACTAATGGCTTGACAACCAGGAAATGAAAATAACCATACTCTCTTTCAGGCAAGTGTTTTCAAGACTGACACTTAGAGCCTTGTTACACAGTAATTTTGGGCTGCTTCTGGACCTCTTACCCCCTGGACTGTCTGCACATTAACACCTTAAAGTGGTTTGAAGCACTTGTTATGGAGGTCAAAGTTACACCACTCCAGGGCAGGGTTATCTCTAATCCGTACTACCCAGCTTCTGTTCCATTTAGGTGCTCTGCCCAAGTTGAAGTCCTCCAGTATCCCAGGATCTCTTCCCCCCCCGCCTGTAGAGCAGGGATAGATGCCTGTCCTGCCTTACCAGCCCTCTAGTAGCAACTCACAGCTGCATCTCCAAGTCCTCCTATTCACCAGGCTTCTAGTGGCTAGTCACAGGTCTGCAGGAGGGGGACAACCAGAGAAGGTGTCTAGACCAAGGGTATAACTGCTCCAAACTCGAGCTAGCAATAACACCAATCAACATTTGTGTGGCTCACAGCTTAAGGTGTAACAAAGCCCTTAATTTTGTATACCACAGGGTAACTATGTATCTCCCCTATAAAGGTCTAGTCTGATTACTGAAGTTAATAGTCAGAAGTCTCAAAACTTTATTTGAGCCACAGTAGTAGCCTGCCACATTTTTCAGTTCTGACAAAGTTGTTGAATAGCAGTTGGAAGGGTGATCTGCTGTTTAGATCACCCTTAAAACTGGTGAGAGATTTAGTGAGTACATTGTTCTTACAGGCAAAGGGCCAAATTCTTCGTCCAATTAAATGACTAACTCTGGAGTATCTGTTGATAGTTACTCCACAGTAGCACACACTGGTATAAGAACAGATTGGGACCATCTCATGAATCAAACAACATAAATTGCCCCTTAGAGATGCTTCTGGCACCCTACAGACTCACACCTGTTCACACATTTGTCATAGATTTAATTTTAGGCTGTATTTTCTTTTCTAAGCGAAGAATATAAGCCTGATCTAAGGTAACAGAATCTAGAAGTTAGTTAGAAAGGCAAGTGAGAACTCCAGTACATACACTTTCCCTTTTTAATTGGGTTTTTTTTCCCCCCCCTGTTTATAGTAATAAGTTATCAGAGACTGTGACAGTAATCAGATGGATTTCAGGATCTCAAAGCACTCCTGTAAGGTTTTCTTAACTTTTGAAGGTTTTACCCCACATCAGGAATTTACATTCCAAATCTCTTCAAGGAAATATTATCACTTCAAATAAAATTTACAGGCTGAAGAAATCCAGCAATGAGCAATGCAAACACATCATTTGGGTAAAAGAAAAACAGGCTGGATCATTAGCCAATGTTTTTCTAAATTGCTGTAGTTCCATTAAGGCCAATGGACTTATGCCAGTTTGTGTCGTTCTGGGAATTAGGGCACGGACAGACTTCATTTGCAATTAGGGTATATGTACAGACTTTGTTCGCAGTTCTTGCGTGAGGGTAGATAATGGATTTGTAAGATTAGGGTTATTTTAAACACCGTTTCTATTTTTATTTTAGAATTTACATTTTACATTTTTTACATTCTTTCCATAATTTTTTTGGTATTTTTGAAAGACTCTCCTACTGACATCCAGAGTTCTTTTGTCCTGGATCCTCAGGATGTGGAGAAAAGAAAACGAGTTCAAATGTTCACAGTATCATAGTACCATAATGCTTAGGGTCGGAAGGGACCTAAACGGATCATCAGGTCCGACCGCCTGCCCCGGGCAGGAACGGGTGTCGGGGTCATATCACCCCAGCCAAATATCTGTCCAGTGTTCTTTCTTGCATTTGAATGCAGCCTGCTTCTTAAGGCATTGCTGTAAATCTTGGCCCAAAAGGAAATATGAAAATCAGGTTAGTCCTACACATAGGCTTATCTAGCAGAGACTTCAAAGGATTATATTAAAGCTTAAGAAAAAAAGGTAAATCTGTGAAACAGATCCTTTCAAGAGACCACAGAAAGAGATTGTGTTCCTTTGTTTGCATCTTGCAATACAAGAGCCTGCTTTTCAGAAATGGAAAGCAATAATTAATATAAGATCAATACATTAATATAATAATTAATATAAGATCGATGCTCTTTTCTAGAAACTTTCTAATAACCTATTTAAAAATATTTCCCTGTTCTTCCTAAGAAGGTCTTTCTAAAACCTTTCTTTTCTTTTAAAGGTACCAGGTTATCAGCACTCCAACTGATTTTTTCATGGTAATGGAATATGTATCTGGTGGCGAATTATTTGATTACATCTGTAAGCATGGACGTGTAAGTAGCAGTGTCGTGTCAACCCAAATATTTGTGGGGAAGAGGATAGTGCTTAGCAATAACATGGATTAGCTAAGCGAGGCACTTCTAAGGTTGTTACGGCCAAAAATAGAACTGGATTCCTAGTGTTCCCATCTGGAATCCCTTGTATTTGACCTGAGATAGTTGTGCACATCTTTTACCAATCACTCCATGATGTGTTACAACAAAAGAGCCAAAGACCGCATATCATTTTTTGCAAAAAAAGAAAAAAACGCCTGCTAAAGTTACACACACAAAAAATCACTAGTTATTCCCTTATCTTGATGCTTCTGATAGGTCGAGGGACAGGAAAATGCCAGGTGGACTAATGAGGGGTGAGGGGGAGAGGTCCCAGAATTAGGCTGGTAGAATCTCAGCTCACAGTATTAATGGGCTCTTTTTTGTATTGCCACAAGATACATTCGGTACTAAACTGTTTTCTGAAAATGAGCTATTTCTGAAAATAGTCTATTTAAATTCAGCAAAAAAATTCTGATTTTAAGCATTTTTTTTCCAGTTTATAGAGATTACTTGGTTTCTCAAATACTAAGTTAGGACCTTTCCGAACTTTGAAAGGTAATTTTTTCACGGAAGAAATGATGATAAAATTATCGATATACTTAAACCTATCATATTACTAATTTCCCTTCTCATTCTTTTCCTGATTATAGAGTCATAGACCTGCTGCCTCTGTAACCTTTACAAAGCCAGTGCATAGTCTCTGGGTGCTGAACTGGTCTCTACTGAATATTGTGCCATGCTTTGTCCATATTCCCCACATAATAAAGCTCCTATAGATTCCCTTGAGAAGCCAGGCTACTCTCTAATAGCACTCACTATTCTGCAGTTCTCCCTAATAGCCTAAATCTAAATTTAGCTTTTCCTCCTTTCATGTCATTACAGCTAGTTATAAGCTTTATTATTTCAAAACACAAATGCATTTTCAAATGCAAGGGGAAAAAATAGCTTTATATCCTGGTTTGGCTTACAGTGCTGTAATAAGTTTATTGTAATTTTACCTGAGATTCATAAAACTTTTTGGCTTTTTACTGAACCAAAGCTTTTATTGCCAGGTCAAGTTTCAGATAAACGTTTAACACGGTTTCCCCTGTGTTTTATAGGTCGAAGAGGCAGAAGCTAGACGCCTTTTCCAGCAGATTCTCTCTGCAGTGGATTACTGTCACAGGCATATGGTTGTCCACAGAGACCTGAAACCAGAGAATGTGCTGCTAGATGCACACATGAATGCCAAGATAGCTGATTTTGGTATGTGACCCCAACAGCATTCCAGAAATGTAGCCAGCTACAAGCCACTTGCTGTCAGTGTAACATGCTTTACAAAACCCAGAGTCTGTTTTTAGAGCCACTAGCAATTTCTTGACTTGAAAAGCCCAACTTTGTAAGTTGTGTCCCTCCAAGAACAGTTTAATAGGTAGAGAGCTTTTGTGTTTGTGCTATAAAGTAAATGAGTTTTCTAACAATGAAGTAGCAAGAGAAATTACAGTGAAATGTATATTTAGCTCATTAATATTCATGGCAGACTTCCGTGCAGTTATCTCAGGAATGACTTTGGCCCCTTAACATCTAATCTCATATGCCTGTTCCTTTTGTAGTGCCTGTTGGGGGTCATTTTATTTTACAAATGAACAGTGACTGGAAGCTTCAAGTGACGCTACTACTTAACATAATATTAATAACGCTCATTACCAGATTGAGGCATCTGATAAACAATTTTTTAATCATTCATAAGAAGTAATGCCCCACAAATGTATTTTTTTATCATATCCTTCCTTTTCTACTTCTTTTTCCCTTCTTTTCAAAGCTTGTGATCCATTCTATAAGAATCTTGGTTTTTTACGGTCCTCTATTGTGATGTCAGACTATGCATTTTTGTTTGTTTTTGAAGGGTTGTCTAACATGATGTCGGACGGGGAATTTCTGCGAACGAGTTGTGGTTCCCCAAACTATGCAGCTCCTGAAGTCATTTCTGGAAGGTAGGATATAGTTTCTAGGGTCGGAAGGGACCTGAACAGATCCTCAAGTCCGATCCCCTAGATATACAACTGGGGGGGAAAAACTCACCGTAATCAAAGTAGGCATATGGGTGGGACTCTTGCATTTATTCTTGCCTCATGAACAGCTTTTCACAGCTGGAAAAAATGACAGAATCTTTCCCCGCATTTTTAAATACTGAACTGAACTAGTTTTAAAACCAAAAGGCCTGTTGATGGCTTCTTTTTTTGATGTTAAAACTGGTAATACTGTGTTCCTGAATATAAATATTTTTAAGGAGTTATTAGAGAGCAAATGTTTGTTGGCATATATCAAATTAAAGAATAGAAAAAATACATTTTTGACCCTAACTAATTGCTTTTTACATTCAAAGAGGCTGCTTCTCCCAGTCCTCTAAAAATGTGTATTCATCCATCTTTGACATTGTCTGTATCTATAATACAAAATGCTGTGTGGGGAAGGAAAGCTATTTACTAATAAAACAACCAGGTTCACTTACCACCTTCCCATAGCTTGACAGCTACTCCATCTGAGAAATCTTGTCTCCTGCTTTGTTTTAAGCCATTTTTATTCCAATGAATAGGTTGCTGCCATCATAACTTCCTGTTACGTTAATGAGAAACAAAAATCTGTTGTCACGCACTGCAGTGCTGCTGGTATTCAGCAGCTGTATAGCACGTTACATATTCAAAACACTGCATGCATATGAATTTATTTCCCTCATATTCACATGGAATGACTGCCTTTCTCTTTTTACAGTCGGAGAAACAAAGTCATGGAGTCATGAATTAATTTGCCCCATTCTGTGCAGTCAGTCAGTGGCAGAATCAAGATTAAAAACAAGGATTTCCTAATTTAGGACAAGCCTACACAGTGCAATACAGAGTCAAGTAGAAATACCTGAGTCAATTTGGTTTTCTTTACAGGCCACTACATTGTACAGTGCAGATATACCTCTCAAGTCATGTCCGTATTCCTCTTGACCACATTCTTCCCAGTCACCCATCATTTATTTTTTTTAATCATGTCTTGTTTGCCTGTTAGCGTAGCAAAATCCCAGTGCTTTTACTCCGTATCAGACTTGCAGCAGCCTACCAACAGAGCACTTAGTTCAAGCTGACTTGTTTTGATTAAGATCATTCACTCTATGCCAGGGCAAAATGTGGCATGATATTCTAGGAATTGGACTACCACCAGCAAAACTAGTTGTTGCAATAGCTCAGTTACAGGGATGAATGGGTCATACTGGCCAGAGAGGGAGCAAAGCCAGAGTCCATTGCTATCCTAGCTCCAAACAGCTTCAATTCAAGCTTACCCTTCCCACGTAACCTTTAAGAGAATGCAAAAACTATTTCATTCATGTAGCATATGAGATAAGGCATTGCCAGACAAGCCAGGTACTGGCTTCTGAATCTGAGAGAAGAGACTAAGCATTGCAAGGACTCAAGGGAAACCCTTTATTATTAACAGAAGAAACAAATATAAATTTAAACCACCCCCCCCCCCCCCAAAAAAATGCCCTTATATTTCCAAATCAGGTTAATCTGGTGAGGCCTTTTCTACAGTGCCCCACCTTCCCTGCATCAGAAATTCTCCCAGACACTACTAGTGACTCTTATTTTATAAACTTGAAAGGTTTCCCAGCATGCTCTGTTTTGAAAGGGAGAGCAGCCTATTGGAGTTACCTTTGTAGTTCTATTCCACATAGCATGGAGAGTGGTCATTTGTATAGGAAACCAGAGCATGCAGACAGATTCAAGGTTCAGGCTGTGCTGTAGCATGAAAGGACAGAGTGTCAGGCAATGATGATGTACCTTATTTTGGTTCTAAAAAAAAAATCAAATCGGGGATTATCGTACAGTCTGAATGCTAGCAGAAGTACGTGAGTCCCAAGACTGCCAGCAGTAGGACCTCGTCGTAGGCACACTTGGGCATGTCAATAATTGGCCATGTTTCCCACAGACTTAGCAACGTCCACTAGCAATAGGAGCTGCTGGGTGACAAGCATTTCTGAAAATGGAGGCTATTATTGAGATATTCTTTGTATGTCTAGAGACCAACTGCTGAAAACCTTGTTCAGGAAAAAGAGCAGAGCAGCTTTCTCTATGGTAGTGAAAAAGCAGTTATGCCAAAACTTTGGAATAACTAGGGACCTAATTAACAACTTGTCAAAAGCCGGAGTGCTTTTATACCAATGTATAAGCTCCTTAAACCGAAAATCAATACACACAGCTATAATATCAGCTGGTAGTTATGTCTGCCTTGGTGGATGACCCAATATTGTTGTTTGACTCCTTCAGCAACATGAGAGCAACCCATTAACAGAGCTGCTGGAAAGGCTTGTTAGCAAACCTGGCTCCTAGCCTTTTAAAATCATCTGCAGCAACATCAGAACGAAGCGGCCACAGCCTGTGCTCTCCACTGCAGGGGTCAAGGTGCAGGGAGGTGCCATGAAACATTTGACCACCCTGCTACATGGATGCCCTCTGCCCTGTACTACAGAGCACGTCGGACTGACTTGAGAAACATTGGGAAGCAGATAAAGCGGGGAGATGAAATCTTCTCTGTTACCTTCACTCGGTTTAGGTTGTATGCTGGCCCTGAGGTGGATATCTGGAGCTGCGGTGTGATTCTCTATGCTCTTCTCTGCGGCACTCTCCCATTTGATGATGAACACGTACCCACACTCTTTAAGAAGATCCGTGGAGGCGTATTTTACATCCCCGAATACCTCAACCGGTCCGTTGCCACTCTCCTCATGCACATGCTGCAGGTCGACCCGCTTAAACGAGCAACTATCAAGGACATGAGGTAATGCCAAGCATCCCAAGTCGCAGCAAACACCTCGTGGCTGATAGGCAAGCTGTGGTACATAGCATGTCTTACAAATGGTCATATATGTATTCTGGAAAGTAACTGGGACTTTTTATATAGCATTATTGAATTGTTTAAAGCAGAGGTAGGCAAAATGGTGATCCGGCCAGTGGCTGGACTCCATTTCCCGGCAGCCCCTGCCCATGTTGCTGCAGTCGGTTTCCATGGAGACCCCAGGAGCAGCAGCACCATGACAGTGTGGGGCCAGGGTTTCCATGGAGACCAGCCCCAGCAGTGCTGGAAAGGTGCGGAGCTGGGTAGGGAGCTACTCCGGGGCTGGGACCTTGCACTGGTGACAGCATGGTCTGCAGCCAGGGCAGAACTGTGATCTCCGTGCATATCCTTGCATAGGGCATGAGGGCAGTGGGTCACAGCTCTGGACCATGCTGTCAGCACTGCAAGATCCCAGCCCCAGAGCAGCTCCCGGCCCAGCTGCGCATCCTGCCAGTGCTGCTGGGGCTGATCTCCACGGAAACCCTGGCCCCGTGCTATCATGGCACACTACTCCTGGGGTCTTTTTGATTGTTAGGGGCTGGAAGGGACCTTGTAGATCATCAGATCCAGTCCTCCTGTTCTAGGCAGGAAAAGACAAGTGGAGTCAGGTGACCCCAGTGAGGTGACTGTCCAGTCTCCTTTTGAAGATTTCCAGGGTAGGTGACTGTAGGACTACTGGAGGGGGTTTATTCCACAGTCTGGACACCCTGACTGTGAAGGTGTTTTTCCTGGAATTGAGCCTGAAGCGCCCTCCCAGGAGTTTGTATCCACTGGTCCTGGTCTCCCCAGGGGTGCCCTGGTGAACAGCTGTTCACCAAGTTCTTGATATACTCCCCTGATGTAGCGCTATGCCGCTACCAAGTTCCCTTTCACCCTTCTCTTCTGTAGGCTGAAGAGGCCCAAGTCCCTCAGCCTCTCCTCGTATGGCTTGTCTTGCAAGTCCCTGATTATACAGGTGGCTCTTCTTTAGAGCCTCTCAAGTTTTTTCAAATCCTTGTTGAAGTGCGGCGCCCAAAACTGGATGCAGTACTCCACCTGCGGTCTCACCAGTGCAGAGTACAGTGGGAGTATCACTTCCTTAGTTTTGCATGAGATGCAATGGTTAATGCATGCCAGCGTGTTGCTTGCCCTGCTGGCCACAGCATCGCACTGCCAGCTCATGTTCATGCGATGGTCGATCACTACCCCTAGGTCCCTTTCGGCCGTGGTGCAAGTCAAATTGTTTCCACCAAGCCTGTAGGTTTGTTGGGGATTGTTCACCCCCAGATGGAGCACCTTACGCTTCTGAGTGTTGAACTTCATCTGGTTCCGGTCTGCCCAGTTCTCCATCCTGTCCAGGTCCGCCTGTATCTGCAGCCTGTCTTCTGGTGTGGCCACGCTCTCCCATAACTTGGTGTCGTCCGCAAACTTGGCCAGCGAGCTTTTCACCCCCACATCCGAATCATTGGTAAAGGTATTGAAAAGCACCAGTCCAAGCACGGACCCCTGAGGGATACCACCGGCCACTTCTCACCAGGATGACACAGATCTGTTCATGAGAACTCTCTGGGTCCCACCATGCAGCCAGTTTTCCACCCGCTGAACTGTTGAGCAGTTAAGCCCACAGTCTTCCAATTTTTCCACAAGGATATCATGGGATACTAGATCAAAAGCTTTTTGGAAGTCTAGGTATATAATGTCGACCTTCTCTCCCACGTCCAAGTGGCGAGAGACCTGTTTGTAGAAGGAGATGCGATCGGTAAGAGAAGACCTACCCATGACAATGCCATGCTGGCTGTCGTTCAGCATCTAAACCTCAACAAGCATATCGCACATAGATTCTTTAATTAGTTTGTCCCCGATTTTCCCTGGGAAAGAGGTTAGGCTGACTGGCCTATAGTTGTCCAGGTCCTCCTTCTTCCCCTTCTTGAAGATGGGCACAATGTTGGCCCTCTTCCAGTCCTCAGGGATCTCCCTTGTGTGCCACGATTTCTTAAAGAGCTTTGCCGGGGCTTCTGCAGTGATCTCAGCCAGCGCCATCAGCACTCTCAGGTAAAGTCCGTCTGGTCCTGCTGGCTTATAAATGTCTGGCTTTTCTAGCTGGTTTTGCACCAGCTCAGCATCCACAGTAGGAAGGCTATCATTTCCACCATGCCCCCTGTGATCATTTCCACCATGCCCCACTTCATGGAAACTGGCCACAGTAACGTGGGCAGAGTGCTGCTGGGAAATGGAGCCCACCGTGGGCCCAATCTGGCCCGCGGGCCAGACTTTGCCTGCCTCTGGTCTAAAACATCCTGAATACTACCTGACAAAGGCAACCACATGATGCAATATTATGAATAAATCTGTCTTCATCAGCTGTAGCTTAATTGAAATATTTCTCTTTATTTCTGTATTCTAGTTGAATGTAAATTGTCCTTAAAAATCTGATCTCCACCCCATATAAGAGCAAGAAAAGTGGGATGCATAGATTTAGTTGTAGAAATTAACTCGAAATGAAAATAATGTGTCTTAATGAGGGGAAGTGGCTCACTTTGAAATGCAATCTAGTTTCTGCATCTAGGAATAATGTGATGATGGTGAACCTTGTCCAGCTCGTATTACCACACAAATTCAGGATAACATGAGCATTGGGATCTTGAGCTGAGATTTGCACCTTTCAATATAATTAAAAATGCAGGCCTGACCGCCAGAATTAGAGATTCTTACAAACTGAGTAATTTTACAGAAGTGTGTTGTAAAACAGAGATGAGGTATAGTTTGTGAAATTTATAGTAATCATTAAATCTAAGTGGTTCTTTAAAATGTGTGTGTAAATGTTAGTGAGACTTTGAGGAATTCTTGGGTTTGTAATACATTTGCAAATGGTGGATTTATAGTACGCCTTCCATTAAAATCTAAGCTGTAAATGCTGTTTTTATTTCTCAAGTCACTTAGATGACAGAATTTAATAACATGTAAAAAAGCAGCACATGGGAAAGAACTGTGGTTGAGAATGGGATGTGGAAATTTAGTTCTCCAAGATATTTAGGGACCTAACTCCCACCTGTTTTCTTGCCAATCCCTGGGAGGTAGGCATCTCAATATCTCTGGAGATCTGAACTTGATTGCTTTATATCCACATCGGGACAGTAGTAACTAAAACCATCTAACATATTTGTGGGTTTCTGTCGAGATCCTAACAGGCAGAAGAAAGCTGCACACGCAGCGGTTGCAAGTGAGTCCTGCCTTGTTTTGCAGTGACCATTTTGTACAGTGGGCAGACTTGTTAGCAGTTAAATCAGAAAGACCCCAAACTACTACAGCAGCATGATCTGAAGGAAGCACACGCTGTTGGTATCTGCGTGTTAACAAATGTTGGTCAAGCTGTCAAATCAAGGCATTGTATGATCACTCCGTTTTCACATTCGTTCCTTTTTTGAACTCTGCTACACCCAGGCCAGAACAATATCTTGAGGCAGAGTGTGGCTAACTGAATACCAAGACATCATGAAAGGTAACAGATCCAATCTTCAACTGCTGTTGATCGCCGTATTGCCACTGAAATGGAAAAAAGTGCCGGTTTACAATTACGTGAGCTGAGGTTCTGGCTTGTAGTATCACCTTTAGGCTGTAGTTCGTAGAGTGAGACATGCCTCGGGTGTCCATGAGTAGATGCAGGGCTCATTTGCTCTATAGTCACTGTTTCATTTCTTTTTTTCCCTTAGAGAACACGAGTGGTTTAAACAAGAGTTGCCCAGTTACCTGTTTCCGGAGGATCCTTCCTATGATGCCAACGTCATCGATGACGAGGCGGTGCGGGAAGTGTGTGAGAAGTTTGAATGCACAGAGTCAGAGGTGATGAACAGCTTGTATAGCGGTGACCCACAAGACCAGCTTGCCGTAGCTTACCACCTCGTTATCGACAATCGGAGAATCATGAACCAAGCCAGTGAGTTCTACCTCGCCTCCAGCCCCCCCACTGGCTCATTTATGGATGACAGTACTATGCATATCCCACCTGGGGTGAAACCACACCCAGAGCGGATGCCTCCTCTAATAGCAGACAGTCCCAAAGCAAGGTGTCCTTTGGATGCTCTGAATACTACTAAGCCAAAACCTCTGACTGTGAAAAAGGCCAAGTGGCATCTAGGAATCCGCAGTCAAAGCAAACCTTATGACATTATGGCCGAAGTGTACCGAGCTATGAAACAGCTGGATTTCGAATGGAAGGTAGGAAAGATCAATGCTTTACAGTAATTTTCAAGGATGATTGCCTTATCATTTCTCCTGAGCTGAACTGATCAGCAAATCTATTAAGTATAGTTATCACATGGTCTGTTTCTAAAGTAATGCTCGTATACCATCACTATCTCAAATATTTTCAGTTAAACACACCCAACGTTAAAAATTTCAGTGGTAGTTTAATACATGCAGGGTTTGTTTATGGCAAAAATATGCACGTCGGCCTTGGGCTGAACAAAAATTTCTTCCTTGGTTATCTGTAGGGACAAGAGGAGCTGTTTACTTTTTTAATTGTAGTGACTAATTCCCTGATAGGCACTTAATCTTCAAAGCTGCTGAGAAAGTAGCAGTCCTATTTCTGCATGGGTCACATGTCCTGCAAATATGCAATATGTTTCCCTTTATTCTTTCTTAAACGATGCGCCAGCTGAGAGGTTGGTATATTTTATGTACAAAAGCTCTTGCACCAGAAGAATCGGCATTGTGGCATTTGTGGACATATTTGCTATGGGAGAAGGCACATCTCTGTCCAGTTCAGGCTTTCAACCATTTACTGCTTTCTAAACAATGCCTCTTCAGAGGCAGGTAGGCTGAGCTTTTTCAAGCTCGAGCTGAGCTCAAAGGACTTTTTTGTAATTTAGCAATATGCTACCTGTTCCTTTGAGATATCCATTCATAGGCCAGGTAGCATTTAGGTTTTCTTGTTCAGGTAAGTTCTTGCCATTGGTTTAGCCATCAGCAAGAATTTCCACGCCTGATTCTCCACAGCCCTGTGCAGTCTCTTATGACTGTATAAAATATATCTTTCCTAACTCATTGGCTTTTTCCAACCATTTTACATAGGTGTAAATAGGAACCTGGGTAGAAGTGAGCTAAGAACCTTTGACAGTCTGCACAATACAGCTGTATTTCTCCCACTCACTCATTCTGCTGTGGTTTACTTAACCACATGTTGTTCTAACTATTAACATGCTTGTTTGGAAAAACCTGACTTTTATGCATTAATTTATGAGTATTAACATGAAATTAGTAGGCAAAATGGGTCAACCCTGGCACTTGTTTACAGGGACTAGGCTTGCATGAAGCTTGGGACAGTGTTGAGCGTTGTTGTACAGACTGTGGCAGGTGCCAGTGTCAGTAGTTCTCCCTAGAAGGTAGGCCATAGCTTTCAAGAGTAGAAGGATGCATTAACCCATTTAGTCCAAGCAGCTAGGCCATAGAATATCACACACTTACCCTGGTATAGGACCTTGTAACACATGTTTGATTAAAATATTTCTTCCAAAATTGGGTCATTTCCAAATGCAGGTGATTTTATTTGTTTTAGTGCCACCATCTGCTTTGAAGGGCTAATGGTACAGTGGGGTAGTCTATAGGAGTTGTTTAGCTGCAGAGTACAGATATTCATAGATGCTAAGGTCAGGAGGGACCTCAACAGATCATCGAGTCCAACCCCCGCCAAG